CAGAGACAAAATACTCCACTGTTTTTCGAGGAGGATTTTTTAGCCGTAACATTTCAGCTGACATTTTAATGAAATAAAGAACGAGAGAAACGTAAGGAGAAATAGGTTTTAAAACAGGATTATTTGTCTTTTAGCATGGCGGACTACATACGACTCTAAATAGGGGAAGGTCATGTTGTTAGCAGCCATCATGCCTTACATCGAGATGAACTGGTGAGCTCACAAAAAATATCTAAAAGGAACGATTAGCAGTAGCACAACCACCAGCACCACCATTATCACCACCACGTCATCACCATCACCATCATCATCATCATCATCATCATCATCATCATCATCATCATCAAAAACAACACCAACCACATCGAGTATAATTAGTCAATAGACAATCTAGACACTCCTCAAAATCTCAGATAATCGCGGTACAAAATCCTTTTCCAATTATGTCCCTTTATTGTCACCATCCGTCAGTGGACGTGGATGTGGTTTTCCTCTGACATTACAACCCATCATCCCAACGGCAAAGAACGCCAATATTAGCGTAGGTTTCAAACTGGTCGCTGATTGATACCTTTGGGATGAAACCCTATGGAGAGAAATATGACCGATGAAGTTGGGTTTCAGCTTTTAACACAAAGGACGTCTTACGCCAGATTTTAGTAAGATGGAGGACAGCAATGGTGTAAGGAATGATACATACGGTTGGAGTCAAACCTGAGCGAACGCATTAACCCTTCGGCCAAACAGACATTTGACCACTTGATTGCATGACTGCCCCTTTAAACAAAACAAACCAAACAAACTACATTACAGAGATAGTCCAATTCTTTCTTAGGCTACTGGAGATATCAGGGCCTGAGAAGACAACTCTAGCCTGTCGTGACGGTGTTTCTCATGACAGTCCCGGGTGTGACCTCATGGGGTCTGTGAATTATGTATATCTGGTAACTTCAGCACCGACGTCACGTCACCATCCTTCATATCTATTTGATGCATGTTCAACTACACCAGCATGTGGCACGTGATATGCGTGCAGTCGCCGGAACCAGACGCAAAGGGTACTGATTGGACCATTGACCTTCATACAGCCACACGCTATCCAAACAGGATTGGCTTTGGGTGTTAAGAAAACAAATATCTACGGGGATAGATTGTAAGACATCAGAATGACCCATGGGGGAGAATTTCATAATATTTACATTGAACCTCTATCTCTTACATTAAAGTACACGTGAATGAAGTATATATCGCACGGCTTAGCTTCCGGTTATGATATCCAGTGTCCACTATCAATCAAAACGGGAGTGGAAGCCATGTTTGCCTTCGTCAAAAATCGCCTATGAGGGAGGAAATTGCGAAGTATGCAGGTCTTGGAAGCTGGATTAACATATGCGCATCCAACGGAATGGTTTAAAAAGAAGAATCTGAGATTCTAACTCATGATGATAAATAGAGAATCTCACCCGAGTTTCTTTTGATATCAAATATATCACCACGAGTTGATAAAGTTACAAATATTTTTACTTTTATCAACGAGTGTGAGGGTGAGATTCTATTTATCATAAAAAATCCCTCTTCGTTAGTTTTCAGTGAAAAATGAACATCACTGAACACGGTACTGCCATTAGACTTGAAGTGCAGCGATGACATAGCATTGTGACGTCATCATGTTCATGACGTCACAAAATCGACTGTCAAAACGATATCACCTAGGAGATATCGTTTGATCTCCCACAAGCAACATCTCCTGCGGAACACAGTTTTGGATGATAAATTCTGGCAATGGGCATCCGAATCAGAAATGGTCTTCAGCAACCCATGTGAGAGAGAACGAGTAGCGTGATAGGTGGGGAGGCTGTGTGACGTGGTTGATGCATATTATCGTTTCCCAATTGGTTGGTTGGATGTTGTTGTTTAACGCCGAACTCGGCAATATGCCACCTTTATGGCGGCCGTCTGTAAATAATCGAGTCTGGACCAGACAATCCAGTGAACAACAGCATGGCAATCAATCTCCGCAATGTGGGATACGATGACATGTGTCAACCAAGTCAGCGAGCCTTACCACCCGCTCCCATTAGTCGCCTCTTATGGCCAGTTCTAACCTGGGTCTTCACGGGTCCTATCCCAGTTGAATGGCTCAATGTTCATGACATCAATCAATGTATTCTCTCGTCCAGACTCAAGTGTTCTACAGCCCATTGTGATAAGGCTAGAATAACTGTGAGTGCAGTGTTAAACAGCAAACAAATAAACACACACACAAACACAGCCCTGTCTCACACCACTATCCACTCGTGCCATCCCTTATATCGCCCTTATATTTCCTACTCTCTTATATGTGTAAAGTTCGTTTCGAGATACGCATGTGAAGCACTGATTAGTCAATTGTTAATTTCTTTGATATCGCGCCAAGGAAATGATGTTTTATCAAAAGAGAATTTTGGGCAATAATAAAAAAGTGATGTATAATTCTTCGGGAATGCTCGCAGGCAATTCACTCGGGAAACACTGGGTATTTTACTCCCAAAAAAGTATTCTTACTTCAGTAATATGTTTTTGATTTTTTAAATGTCACAACTTCCAAAAACTGACACCTGTTACTTGCTATGAATAAATGCAAAATTTATACTTTTTCCAGGACATATTTTACGAAGAATATGTCCAAATGTGTTTTTCGTTGTGCCTTCTCGTAAAATACCGATTAATCATAACTACTGTCCCTGTGCAGTATGTTCTGGTAAGTCAAAATGCTACTTTCTCAAGAACTATTGAAAACTAGTTATAAAAACCCGTCTACAGTAAAAACAGTACCTCAGGAGAATGAACGTAAATGAACAGTAAATCAACCTAGCCAGACAGGCTCTAACTAAAGCTATTTCTTAGATCAGAATGTTTTCATATCGTCTTCGATTTACCTCTCAAATTACCTTCCAAGGGACCGAAAAATCGACGATGTAAATAATCCGCCTACAAGTATTAAACTTTCCGGTTTATTGTCGCCATTAAACAAGATTCCGCCAAAAAAGTTCCAAATTGCTTGATGTATCATGTTTGAGTTTGAAAGTGGTGTATTGATGTTCTAATACATTCCGTTTTGAAGTTGATATTTTGGCAAAACCCCATTGACATATTACTGTCCCTTGTCACGTTCCATGTTCGTAAAAGCACGATATTACAAATCATGTTATATTTTTGCAAACCATGGAATATGATGGAATAATATTGCATCGGATAACTTTTGTTAAATGGTTCCAAGAGGATCGATTCCTGGCAATTAGAATCAAATTCTCATCACTACTTTAAATGTACGCAAGTTCAAGAACTTGAAGCTGTTCATAATTTTAAGACGCTTCTAAACATCCAAACAGAACTGTCTGGGCGAAAAGTCTATTTCTCCTTGACATCAGAATATATCTATTTCATTTTCTCAAAATATCCGAAAAAAATCAATCAGACCAATTGCCTGACTGGTAAAGAGTCTATATTGTCGACTGGAGATATGACGAATGCATCAATAAATAAACAGACTTATCATATGCATGTCCTATAGGACCATTACATACATATATGTATAGAACGCAGTTCGTGGTATTGATCACACCAGTCATCACGTAGCCTATCTGACAAGCCAATAATGACAGACTATGGACCCAGAGCATGGCCTGCGATACGAGAGTAGCGCCGGATATTGTGCATGTAAAGAGGATTTAAAAGTTATATAACATATAACCATTGGTTGGCTCTTAGACTTGTGGGGGAGGTGGGGTAGCCTAATGGTTAAAGCGTTGGCTCGTCACGCCGAAGATCCGGGTTCGAATCGCCACATCGGCCACATGGGCACAATGTGTGAAGCCCATTTCTGGTGTCCCCCGCCGTGATGTTGCCTGAATATTGCTAAAAGCGGCGTAAAACCAAACTCAGTCAGTCTTAGACTTGTGCCTTTACAGGCTTTCGTCGCCTCATGGTTGGTATTTCGGTAAAATTCTGGAAAGGCTATGTATAGGAATGTTTATAGCATCTTAGCTTGTTTCACACCGGTCGCTTCTCCACTTAGTAGGATTTCACTTAATTCCTGTTCAAAGCAACTCTAAGACATCCGAATCGGGGTAAGAGACTGCATATAAACAAAACTCGTGAAGCGATTACATGACATCTGAACCGCAAGAAAAGACTGTATGAAATGTGAAAATTCTGAAAATTGAAAAGGGTTAAGAGGCTGCATAACAATTGAACCGCAAGAAGAGGCTGCATGAAAAAAGTGAAAAGGGTGAAGATTGAGTGAGTGTGTATGGTTTTACGCCGCTTTTTTGCAATATTCCAGCAATATCACGGCGGGGGACACCAGAAATGGGCTTCACACATTGTACCAATGTGGCGAATCGAACCCGGGTCTTCGGCGTGACGAGCGAACGCTTTAACCACTAGGCTACCCCACCGCCCCAAAGGGTAAAGAGACAGCATGAAAGATGAAAAGTGTGGAGACTTCATAAAAACTGAAAAGCCGAAGAGACTGCATGAAAACTTAAAGGTGTGAAGAGAGTCAAGAGACTGCAGGAGAAGAGACTTTTGTGGTACAACTATCGCAAAGGTTCAAATCAAGCATTGTTTTCACGTTTGGAATCGAACTCGTTGGACAAACGCTGTCCTCACCGGTTGATATGTAAAGAAGTTCTGTTAGCGGTGGGATGTGTTTGGTCTACAACAAGAATTTACCCCATTTCCTGTCACTTACGCATGTGTCGACACTCAAATCACCCCACCCCACTTAGCGTCTTAGTAAATACAAGGGCACGGGGATGGTGCTGATAGAACTAGAAACATGTAATCAGAGCAAAACGAACATCCTGTCGTGTACAAGGGACACAACTGAACTCTGAACTGTGAACTGCAAATGGTTCAACCTAGGCATGGTTCCCCTTCAGCCACTCCGATCCAAATAAACATCAAAGCATGTAAACGATAAGAGTACTTATTGCTGTAAAGGAAATTATGCTTACCTCTATTAGAAGAATAGATAGCACACAAAGACTCGCATAATGGAGTTTATGGGCGATTTGAGTCGCCCGAGAGTGTTCATCGTGGTGCTGCTTGTATCCGGCAGAAGTCACGTGATCACTGATTGTACTGTCATTGGATATGTTAAAGCTCCCGTAATTTCCCTCTGTGAAATAAGCACCTTGTGTTTCCCGCCTCTCGCGAGCGCCCCCTATACGGTTGGAGTCATTTCCGATGTTGAGGTATTCCGCGGCCGTCGTGTTTTCGCCTGAACTCCACATAATTCTAGCAGCTACTATCCTGTTATAGAAAGCATCCACGTCAATATAACCAGGAGAAAACTCCCTTGGGTATTTGTTTCGTATGTTATCCACGAAACCTTTAGTCCGATCGGCATTGGTCCTCAGAGTTTCTGGGAAAAGAAAAGCACATGTTACTTATTATCCTTACTGATTTACTGGTGATCGTAAAACGGACATCTGACTGATGTCAGATTAGTTTTTTTTGTTTCTTTTCTTTATTTTTTCAACATTTTGTCATTGTTTCATCATTTTTTTGTGGACAGGAATGTGGGCCGAAATATGGCCTGAATCAAAGAATCGCTCCATTTATACATTTGTGTGAATATTGTTTAAAGACACAGCCGGAGATGCAAGTAAAAGACCACGACAGCCTATAAATACTGGGGCAAAGAAAACCAATGGTTGACTGCATGAAGAAACGTCCACGTGCCTGGGCCAGCCACGTCACAAACATTTGGGCAACATAGGACTCATTTTTCGCCAGTACTGTAAACGCCCATAGCCTGCTTATAGTAGTGATTTGGGTTAATCTTCAGCAACCCATGCTTGTCGTAAGAGGCGACTAACGGGATCGGGTGGTCAGGCGCGCTGACTTGGTTGACACATGTCATCGGTTCCCAATTGCGTGGATCGATGCTCATGCTCACTAGATCGATGCTCACTGGATTGTCTGGTCCAGACTCGATTATTTACAGACCGCCGCCATATAGCTGGAATACTGCTGAGTGCGGCGTAAAACTAAGCTCACTCATTCACTCGCATTTACTACAGTTGAAGCTGTTAATTAAATAAATCATTAGAGGCAACAACAGTTTTATACAGGCACGAGGGATATTTAGCTTCAATGGCGGTGTAAAACCCAACTCACTCACTATAGTAGTGATTTAATTGTCAGATCGAACTATCTCTATCTTTATCTGGCCTACTGGAAATAGTGCCCGGTGAGACAAAGGTCAGTGACTTGATCCCTTCCCCACTTCCTTCCAAACTATTATATACTCATGCCAATTATGGTTGTCACCCCTCCCCACCCCCACACACCTCCCACCCCACCCCACACACCCCTCCTCAAATTAGAAAAATTGAAGGGGTGACAACCATTATTGGCATAAGTATACATAAAAATGCAAAGCAAGCACTGGTACGTTATGAGCCCGTATACTGTGCCTTAGAGGGTTAAATTGCTGCATGACATCTCAGTGGTCTCATATTAATAAAAACGGCATTAATCAGGAGAGTTATAAGCTGGTAAAAACACCCACATCCGCATACCTCCTGCTTAAAAGTTCATTCCCCATGTGACATGGGAGCAGAACCTGTGGGGAACCCGTAGAGAAAAGGAAGTGATAGCACCCGTGTTACACGCCTGTGCAACGAGACACCGACAAGGGTGCCATGCATGTAACACGGGACCGGGTTTGAATTGAAAATGAATCGTGATGTAGAAAACAAAAAGGAACCGTACGTACATGTACGCGGACATACATCTCACTAAACATTTCATAAATGCAAGAATCTTTGAACGGGGCATACTCTCATCTCATATTTCGTAAGGAATCTATTTGTTTGTTGTTTAAGTCAGCACTCAGCAATATTCCAGCTATATGGCGGCGGTCTGTAAATAATCACGTATGGTCCAGACAATCCAGTGATCAACTGAATGCGCATCGATCCACACAACTGGGATACGATAATGTTTGTCAACCAAGTCAGCAAGCCTGACCAGCTGATCCCATTAGTCGCCTCTTACAAGCGTGGGTTGTGGAAAACCAATTCTAACCCGGATCTTCACAGGTATTTCATAATGAAAATGGCAAAGATATCAGAATTCGATCAACCATCTCCCATCTACTTTATAAAAATTGTTTCTTCCAACCGCCCCCAACTGAATAGCTTTCGTGCCTAACTTGAAAGAAAATCATTTAACATGGGTCTCTTCAATCCCAAACACAGGGATTATACCCTTGGGTAGCATGGTGATTGATACTTTTCAGAAACGTTTCCCCCGACAACGTTTTCTTCGGATATTCATGATATAGATAAACCTTAAACAAGTAAAACCAACTTCCTGATAAAATCTTGCTTCCGGTGACGTCCCTACAGTTCTCAGACAATTTATCCCAATACTGTAATCCCCTTCACACAATGTACAATGTATTCTAAGACGTAGAACAATTCTCTAATCCGAATTGCTTGGATTTTGAAGCCTAGTTTGCAAATTTCTTTGAAAGTAATTCAAAACTAAAGAGACGTTTTGTTGTCTTGGTCCCCAAAGCAGTAGCTTGGGTTCCCATCCACGGGTACATAATACGATGTATTTGACGTTGGTGTGAAAGAAACATTCCGTCTCATCCCCTAACAGATCTGCAACTTGTTGCAATCATGATTCAACAATGGTCATACATTCCAGTGAGTTCATTCGTTATCTGTTGCAATTTCTCAGCGCTGAGGTAGCTCTGTAATTTACACGTGACATTCCGCAATCTGGGCAGGCGTTGTAATGCCTAGAACGCATATAGGTGAGGTTCCGCAAAATGAGCCAGCATCATTTGGATAGCAGCAAAACAAAGCTTTTTGGAACCAGACATCGGCTAGAAACACTGATCTGCAGCAACATTGTATCAATATCTTTGCCGGGACTGAGCGGAACATGCTATTTTTAAGTCGGATCGAAATAAACCTCTGCTCGCGTTGTCATTTCAGACAACACGACCGGTTATTAGCGCCTAACTACCGGAAGTGGCCGTCGATAAACAGAGCCAACTGGCGATAATTCGCCGCTGTGACGTACATGTCGTGTTATGACGTCACACGGGCACTATTAATCCCACGTTGGGGAGTAAATTTCATGAAGGCCATATTTCGGGTCATTATTGATGGAAGGTGTATGTTGCCAAATATACTGCAGTGTGGTGCCCTTTGCTAGGTGGAACCAGTGTATGCATTACAGGTAGTGATTAGTCCTGAAACGAGGTAATTTGGCGTAATAACCATAACACCGTCAATTGGGATGGGACAATCTATTTGTTAATATCATTTTCAACGATGTCTATCGGCAATACTCACATAGCTTGATTCATAAAGAACTTGACAAAAGCATATATTTTTTTCATAATTTAAACATGTCAGAGTTTCTTTAAATACTGTTTATTTTCATGATCAGTCCAGGTGAAATCCGGTTTTGTTGTATGTCATATTATGTGAATGCTAATTATGGTTTACACACGTTATGTGTATTTTAAAGGAAAGGTTACCATTCCTTGTCTAAACCTGTACCACCATGCATGTTCTATCTACATCTCGGCACGGTATGAGTGAGTGTTATTTTACGCCACTTTTAGCAATATTCCAGCAATATCACGACAGGGGGCACCAGAAATGGGCTTCAGACATTGTGCCCGTGAGGGGAATTGAAACTGTATCTGCAGCGTGACATGTGGACGCTTTTGCTTTTGCTCGCAGGTCATGTGTCGAATCCTCGGCCATATCGAATACGTTAAGCACAATTTTATTGTGGTATCGATATTATTATCTTAGTTGGTAATATTTTGACGAATGTTTGTTTTGATTGTTGTGAGTGAGTGAGTTGAGTTTTACGACGCACTCAGCAATATTCCAGCTATATGGCGGTGGTCTGTAAATACTCGAGTCTGGACCAGACAATCCAGTGATCAACAGCATGAGCATCGATCTGCGCAATTCGGATACGATGACATTTGTCAACTAAGTCAGTGAGCCTGACCACCCGATCCCGTTCATCTCCTCTTACCACAAACATGGGTAGCTTATGAGTAAGTCTAACCCGGATCTTCACGGTTTTCGACGAAGGTACCCTACTTAAATGAACGAATAATAAAAATGCAACCAAACCACAATTATAAAACTCGTGACAGTGCACATGGAGGCATGTCCTATCTTAGAACGTTTGTTTCTGTGTTGTTTTACGCCGCAATCAGCAATATTCCAACCATTCCAGATACCGTGGCATGTTTCAACCAAGTCAAACAAGACCCGTTACAACAAGCATTGGTTGCTGAAGAACAATTCTGAATCGGATGTTAACGGCTGTCTACCTCAGACACAAGTCGATCGGAGCGGCATTAGGTATCTAGAGTGGCAAGGAAATGCCTTAAATGTACTAGCAGTCACGTGACGACGTGATAAATAAACCAGACAGCTTGATTCACTTTAAACAAAACAGTCCTGACATGAACACTTACAAATGTCACGATGGGCCTATATGCTGCCGAAAAGGTCATGTTCAAATCGACGCCTACCACTACTGGTCCTCAGCTGAAGTCATTCTGGACGCAGTGTTTTCGTTTGGTTTTGGAATTAGCGGTTCATCAAACATTCAGTGTGAGGGCAGCTGGGATCATTTACTACCGGGCCACCAATTTCAGAAGTTGCCATATTGAACCGGTTTTCAGATTCTTCCAAATAATGGTAATAAGGTTCCGTGCCAAGCTGTTATGAACTCACCAAGTCGCTAGTTGCTCTGCAGTAATCAATAGTAATTTGTCATGTCCAATACGGTTCAAGTCAATTTTTTTATGATCCGAATGTGAATTTAAGTCAATTATTTCATACGAGTATAAAAGCTAATTGCTATTGATTTGCCTTTGAAAAGGACATACATGGCAAAGTATCCTGTTTACTCACTTAAAATATCCATCCATTTAAATGGTGTTGAGATTCAAAATTTAATAAAAAAATTAAAAACAACGATTTCGCTTTTGTTCAGGGTTTAGCAGTACCAGCGAGTCATGACGTTGCAATTCAGTTGATAATAATGAAATTGCGAGATAGAAATAACAAAATGGATTCAGGTTTATCACGTAATTAAATTAAAATATAATAAACGTCACATGATCTGTGTTACTATATATGTAATCCTAATAATAATTGCAATAAAGATTAATCGTATAATATTTATCCTCAATGCGTTTATTGTACGCCCGATGGTATCTGCCCCATCTGTAACAAGCAGGCAATGTGAACCCGTCGTCTTCATCAACAGCACAGCGTAGTGCTTGTCCCAAGCAGAAGGGATGGTGCTGACCCAACGCACAGCATCGTCTGTTGATAACGAAGACGTTTTACACATCCACGTAGATGAAAACAGGCTGATACTCTCCGCACGCTTTGGCTGGTCAATCCAATATCAAATACATTAACTCGCTGATTAAACTGGCAAGAAAATTCATCTTCACACTGCTGACATTTGCAAAGTCTATTATAAGACATTCAGTCTGTGGTTCTTCAATGAATATCGTTATCAATGACGTTATGGCCTACGACAAGGTACGTAATACAGAAACTAGTGTGTGGTTAAACTGCGGCAGACCATCTGAGTCTTGATATGAACATTGAAGTTGCAGCTGCACTGATATATATTTTATTAATACCTCCAGCTGTATTTTGGGCGACGCTGTTCCGAATGTGATAAGAGAAACCTCAAGATTTTTCATCCACAAGTTTCATATTCCAAGATTGTTAGATTTAACTACATGTTTTGGCTTCCCATGAACTCTTCCGTTCTGTTATGTTCTTGTACAGTGGGTGAGTGAGTGAGTGAGTGAGTGAGTGAGTGAGTGAGTGAGTGAGTGAGTGAGTGAGTGAGTGAGTGAGTGACTACCAATAATTGTTTCAAGCCGCAGATTCGAATCATCAATAAATAATTCTGTAAAACAACAAAAATGACAATTTATACATCTCGCGTGCAAAAACTGGCTCTGCACATCCCGTGAGAACAAGGCGTCAAATGAAGGGCGTGACCCAAACTGCTTACAATAGGCGGCAAAGACTTGTGTGGGCTAAGTAACAAGAGGGATAGGCTGTACAACAATGGCGTTACATAACAGTGGAATCAATCATGACCCGTATGAAGTCATGATGTTGGGCAGTATTACACAGGCGAACTCATTTGATTATTGTGAATGTGAGTGAGTGAGTGAGTGAGGGAGGGGGGAGTGAGTGTAGTTCTACGCCGCTTTTACCAATGTTCCAGCAATATCACGGTGGGGGACACCAGAAATGGGCTTCATACATTGTACCCTTGTGGGGAATCGAACCCGGGTCTTCGGCGTGACGGGCGAACGCTTTAACCACTAGGCTACCTATATTTTGAAAGAAGGTTTAAACGACCAGCGATATGATGACAAAATTTCACCTCCTGCCGTTGCTCTATTTGCTAGAAACATCATCAGAAACTTTGAACTACAAATATGATAATGCCCGATTACATTGTGCCAAGATCATCAGAGGTTATCTGCGACGAAAAGAAAATTAAGCACATCAAATTCGCCCGCTCGTCCCCTGGCATGTCACAAATCAGGGTGCAATTTACCTATTTACAATTGCACCGGTTGCGTCTTAAAAATGGTTCGTGCAGGTACCCTCCAGTAACAGGGTGCACCTGGCGCAGGTAACAGTAAATCTTCCAACATCTCATAGCTGTCAGCACGTGTTTTAATTGGGAAGTAAGTCACCGGAAGTGATAGTAAGTCACCGGAAGTGATAGTAAGTCACCGGAAGTGATACATTTCTCTCCATATGACATAATCATATAATTGAGATTTATAGATAAAGTTAATGCAAAATTGAAACAGAATCATTCATCATATATCATCATGGGTCATGTTCTGTTGAATGGAATTGATACTGAATAGTTGTTCTGGAAGTTGCTAAATAAGTATTTATGTTACCTTTTAGAACCAGTGATATTATTTTATAGTGCAACCAAAATTTTGATGGTGTAGCCAAACCTATAAGCCAGGTTGCACTCGGTGCAGGTACGGAAGAAAAAAGAAATTGCATCGTGTAAATAGATCTGTGGGATGTTCCTGACCAGCATCCGACAACAGACCAAGGCTGTCTTCTTTCTGTCAGATGGCGAGCGGTGCCTTGGGCAACATGGGCAATAGTTAACAGTATGGGCAACACGGGCAATAGTTAACAGTTTGGGCAACACGGGCAATAGTTAACAGTATGGGCAACATGGGCAATAGTTAACAGTATGGGCAACAGGGGCAATATGGGCAACATGGGCAATAGTTACCAGTATGGGCAACACGGGCAACAGGGGCAATATGGGCAACATGGGCAATAGTTAACAGTATGGGCAACACGGGCAATAGTTAACAGTATGGGCAACACGGGCAATAGTTAACAGTATGGGCAACATGGGCAATAGTTAACAGTATGGGCAACAGGGCAATAGTTAACAGTATGGGCAACACGGGCAATAGTTAACAGTATGGGCAATAGTTAACAGTATAACAGGGCAATAGTTAACAGTATGGGCAACACGGGCAATAGTTAACAGTATGGGCAACACGGGCAATAGTTAACAGTATGGGCAACAGGGCAATAGTTAACAGTATGGGCAACATAACAATAGTTAACAGTATGGGCAACACGGGCAATAGTTAACAGTATGGGCAACAGGGCAATAGTTAACAGTATGGGCAACACGGGCAATAGTTAACAGTATGGGCAACACGGGCAATAGTTAACAGTATGGGCAACACGGGCAATAGTTAACAGTATGGGCAACAGGGACAATAGTAAACAGTATGGGCAACACGGGCAATAGTTAACAGTATGGGCAACACGGGCAATAGTTAACAGTATGGACAACACGGGCAATAGTTAACAGTATGGGCAACATGGGCAATAGTTAACAGTATTGGCAACAGGGGCAATAGTTAACAGTATTGGCAGCATGGGCAATAGTTAACAGTATGGGCCAAATGGGCAATAGTTAACAGTATGGGCAACACGGACAATAGTTAACAGTATTGGCAACAAGGTGGCGTGCATGTGTCACCCCACATCGTGAACACACCAAATATTCTTCTTCATTCCGATATACATTTTACAGACATTTATCGTCAGGACACCCACCGTATAATTTCATATGTTCCTTTAGTTTTTACCATGAGTATCACTTCGCCGGTGAAAATATATGACGAATTTTGTTTCTGCAAACACTCACGCTATGTGCTATCTTAAGGATAAAACAAAATGAAGTCATGTTATTCATAGCCTTGTTTCTTTTCGTCCTTTATGCTAACTTCTTTGAGTGGCATTCAGTCGGTACAAAGCACATAGCCCTTTGGGTACCCTACTCGGTTATTACATTTTGACTGCGAATTGTAATCCGTAGCTGAAGCACCCTGATGGAATATTTAAATCACCATTTTGTGAAAACTCAACATCGAATTAGCCATGAACAACAAGAAAAAATATTTATGCAACTTTGTTTTTTATTCAGTTGAAAATTAACTTTTGGTAAAGTTTATCATATATATTTTACCATGACTTATTTCTGAAACAATGTGTAACAGGTTATCTCTGGCTTGGTAATTTTGTCCATACATCTATCTGTTTGTCTGTCTGTCTGTCTGTCTGTCTGTCTGTCTGTCTGTCCAGATAGATAGATAGATGGATAAAATTATTATAGATAGATAGATAGATAGATAGATAGATAGATAGATAGATACTCAGTAGATATATAGATAGATAGTTAGATCTCGGTTCAGTGAAGACTTGGGTAAGAGTACATTTGCAACCACATTGTCTCTGTATATATGTGTCGAAAAAGCAAAGTTATTGATTTTCACAAATAACATATCTAAGATATTCATCAGCAGTTTGTAGATATTTTTAAATTGTGGAAGTGCTGACTATGCGCTACAACAGATTATTTTGGGAATAAACTCTCGCCAACTTAAGACACCTTCAGTTGAAAATAAAACGTATGATACAATTTCCTGTGAGATTTTTTGGTTCGTGGATGAAGATGCAGAAAATCTCCGAGTATCTATAGCATCATCTTGTCACATCGCATTGTAATCAACAGAGGTGTCTACGACGAAACTATTAAAAGAAATTTGAAGCAAACGAATTTGGTAGGTTTTGCAAAAACAAATTTGTTTTAAGTGGTCTTACTTTTAACACTGTACAGATCTAGAATAAGCTCCCCGATGACGAGAGCGCAGTCGGTGATGGTCAGGATGATGACAAAGATGACGATGTATTTACTGTGCAGGATCTTCTCGCCCTTCTTACGAAATCTGGAAAAGACAGAACAAAATATAAGATGGGTGTGTTAAATTGATGGGGTTAAAATTATGTTCAAATTTAATTCACTTACACCGCCATTTGCGTGTGTATGTGTGTGGGTGCGCGTTTCTATTTGTGTATATGTGTGAGTGTGTGTGTTTGCTTGTATTAGACCGAACTAATGCCGCTTTTACAGTGACAGACATGGGTTCGTTCATTCAGAAAACAAAGAGTGAGTACATAGCAGTGGTTAACGTCACTGTAAGCTTTCCCAGACAAAACCCGTGAAGGTCCGGGTTAGAATGAACCTTCAGTAACCCATGCTTGTCGTAAGGGGCGACTAACGGGATCAGGTGGTCAGACTCGCTGGCTTGGTTAAGACATGTCATCGGTTCCCAATTGCGCAGGTCGATGCTCATGCTGTTGATCGCTGGATTGTCTGGTCCAGACTCGATTATTTACAGACCGCCGCCATATAGCTGGAATATTGCTGAGTGCGGCGTAAAACTAAACTCACTCACTCTATTTCTCAGACAACGGATCACATGAACTAAATATGGTAAAAATGTTTAATGCTGTAGAAGAAATTACCAGCCACAAAGCTACACTATTGCAAGCGTTTGGCTCATAGTTATATCTATTATATAGATAGGAGGAACTGGAGACATAACTGAAAACCTATCTTGTCTCAATAGCTATATGTTACATAGAAATAGTACAAGTATTATTTAAGTGTTATCCAAGCACTTCATCCACATAACCTCTGCCTGGTAAGAGTATACCATTAGATCCCAGTTCACTACTTTTCTTTGCATTAAGGGACCTTTAATGTTACAATACGTTTTGTAGCATTACATTCCGTTACAATACTTTACGTTACACAACACAAAAGTTATATTACATTACATTACATTACCATAATTTACGTTACATTAGATTACGTTACCTTTAATTACCCAACGTCACATAAAGTTACGTTACATTACATTACACTTCATTCCATTAAGATAACGTTACATTAACTTGCCTTCGATTACCTCATACCACATGACTTTATGTTACATTAACTAACCGTAAAATATTTCACATCACATAACGTTACGTTGCATTGCTTCAATTTACGATACAATTTACTTACGTTACCTTACCTTACCTCACATTACTTCAAATCACTAAACGTTACGTGACGTTCTCTTACGTCGCATTACAAATACTTGCATTATTGAGTTACAAAACAACAATAATCATTGGCTTTATTTACTAAATACTTATGTGGCCATTGCCGTAAATTAACCAGAAGCCAGACAAACATGGCACTCAATATCTTAAATAAGAGTCCTCGCTCCTGTAACAGATCTGCCTGCCAGGGCTACAACCGCTATTCATCAAACTCAGATCAATTACAGCTGACATGCAAATATTACCTCGAGGAGCCAACAGAAAGCCGGCGAACGAACACAAAATACGAGTGAAATCGAAGTCAGTGCATTTAGAAAGAAAATCACAACCCCTTTTTGTACTGACTTCTACGAACTGAGGCAATCCGGGAAAGTTTCAGAACATTTACAGCCTCTGAAGACATCGTAAATCGGGAGGTTGTAAAGAGTTAATTGAATAGCAATGTTTGACGCTGAGCTGTGTATTTCTCCCCCGATTTCCTCTCGCCAAAACAGGCGCTGAGTTGGTTGTAAAGTCTAAAGAATGTTAATGAAGAGGGACAATCTATCAGTATGCATGCCCGGTCGCACGGCTACCAATTTACGTAACAAGAAACCTTGGTTTTTTTCAGGTCAGGTAATTTCCGAAATTGTTCAATAAGCATGTGGCGTAATCAAATTTACCCAACAAGATTATGACGTCAAGAAATGGACGTTTCAAACACCGGAAGGAGTATGGTGTGTTAGAACGGATCTTCAAATATCATAATATTGGCGACAATGATATGTTATTTCACGAAAATAACAATTTCACAGAAATGTTTCCAATCTTGTGTCAGTATAATGGAATCTCACTAGGAATGTTGACATTCTTATTAAATGGATTGGAGATGACCGCTAGGAACAGATTGGAAGACGGAGCAAATCAAGGAATCGAACTGTGTTTCCTAGCACTGTCAAAAGCGTGTGTGTGAGTGAGTTTAGTTTTATGCCGCACTCTTCAACATTCCAGCTATATGGATGCGTCTGTAAATAATCGATTCTGGACCAGACAATCCAATGGTCAACAACATGCGCATCGATTTACGCAGTTTGGATACGATGACATGTGTCAACCAAGTCAGCGAGCCTGACCACTCGATCCCGCTAGTGGCCTCGTATGACAAGCATGGGTTACTGAAGATCAATTCTAACCCGGATCTTCACAGATATCACTGTCAAGAAGACCAGGTGTGCACATCATGATCTAGGTTGGTGTCCAGGTTGGTGTTTTGTTTGTTTGTTGTTTATCGTCGCACTCAGCAATATTCCAGCTATATGGCGGCAGTCTGTAAATAATCGAGTTTTGACCAGACACCAGTGATCTCATCATGATGATCGATCTACGCAATTGGGATACGATGACGTGTCAACCAAGTCAGCGAGCCTGGACACCCGATCCCGTTATTCGCCTCTTAAGACAACCATGGGTTGGTGATTGGTCGAGTTTGGTTTTACGCCGCTTTGAACATTATTCAAAATTATATCACAGCTTGTCAGTTTGATTTTGGATACCGTCAGAAATCAGGCAGGTCTTCGACGTTACCCCTTTGGTAAAACCCACGAGAAAGGCATGGTGCCGACAAACCTAGAAACATTATGGGTTTCTGTTATACCAAATATACATAACTCGAAATGCGGCGCCGTAGACGACAGGAGCCAGCCCTAACGTCATCTTCTTCTATATATATTTATATAGCGCCAATAGGCAAAGGCACTTTGTTTTTCTCGGTCATTGGATGTGAGTCTCAAACGGCACAATGTATTTTCAATCTCAACTCCCTGGGGATCATACAACTCTTGCAGCCACTAGGCGCACCGAGTTAATGTGGCTTTCCCATCCTTACGAGGTACCCATCACAGCTGGGTGGACTGGGACACGTAGTCACAGTATTTTGTCCAAGTTTACTGCATGTTGCTGTACCCGCAACTAGGTGTTTGCACGTATTCATGTTGCCACTATCTTGTCATATACCAACGGATTCGTGGGTCCTTTTAAGTGCACAGGGTTGTGTACTGTACACTAGGGTTTGTGACAACACTTAGAGTGTCTGCACGCAAAGTTGACTCCAAGGTTTTTACTCCCGGTCACAGGTGGGCCCGACCCCGTCACCTCAACCTCGCTGGATCACTAGCCCGGCGCCTTAGACAGCTCGCCCCTAACGTCATCATCAGGTTCAGACAACAAATGGTCGCTTGCCCACAGATTGTTTAAAATGAACAACACAAACGAAAGATGAACAGTGGTTGCGAATCTATATCCGTGTACACAAGCTACATCACAGTATATCGTCATATAGACACAACAAAATATAAATATAAATATTGATAAACTGTCATTAATATAAGATAGTAGCCGTTCGTAAAAATACATTTGTGAGATAGCCACGAATGATTTTCTTTAAATACACCAATATCGATAATGGCACAGCCAATTTTATTGGCAATTAGTTAACCTCAATATCTCTGTTACAGACATTAATTTGTCAATAATAATTACATAAGCGGTACTTGTTCAAGCAGGAGACAGCATAATGCCGATTCAGATCGCTGTTGAGTGGTGTTGGTGAGGGGTTGTCTAGGCTGACGTCATTACGTATCGATATTTCCTAATCCAGGGACCGCCGGAGCTATTATACAGTCTTACGTAGAACCGAAGCAATCCCATCGATTGCAGCCCCATCATGCAAAGTTATTGCGTATATGGGCTGCCATCTCGTGCCAAGGGAGATAATCCCTGATCACAAAGTGCCATGACACGTCAATCATCGCTAGTGTTCATAGCCAGAAAATGAACCAATTAATCGCTCCCCACAGAAGCACGAAAGTGCTGGTTCCGAGATGCCGGATATCTAACAATACAGACAAACTGAAATAAAAGAATTACATCCGGTACCAGCAGTGAAATGCAATCGCCATTACAGATCGTCAAGGCACCACGTCATGACGTAATAAAGATGGAAACAAATCACGGCTGGATTCTTGGAATAAATTATATGTTATTTAACTGACATTGGTCAAGAAAGATTTGTGTCGGCAACAAAGGATGAGCCGGATCTCGACAAGGATTTTTTTTCGGCCACACGTATTTACGACAACTCTCCGTCGCTCGTACCTACGTTAACTCTCCCTCACAGGTACCTACGACTACAATCCGTTAAAGGTACCTAAGGCATCTTACAGGCAACTGTAAGAATGAAGATCCGGGTTAGAACTCACTTAGGTACTCACTGTTTGGTGAACGCTCTTACAAAAGAAGTTTAAATGTACTTTCAGAGGCTATTCCCACTTATGAATCTGTCACGTGAAAACACATCCGTGACGATTTGGGTCAGAATTATTCTTCAGTAACCCATGCTTGTTGTCAGAGGCGACTAACGGTATCGGATGGTCAGGCTCGCTGACTTGGATGGCACATGTCATCGTATTCCAATTGCGTAGATCGATGCTCATGCATGGATCATCAGATCCCGTTAGTCGCCTCTTACGACAAGTATGGGTTGCTGAAGACCGGTTCTAACGGGCCGGATCTTCACGGGTATCCCCCACTTTAACATGACACGCCGTGAAATAACAGGAATGCTGTTAAAAGCGGCATTAAACAGCGTTTAAAATTCCCGCCTTCCCGACCGTCCGTAACGGTCTATTTTCATCTCGGACGGTCAAATTTCAAACGTAGCCTGTCCGGTGGTCTGGTAGATGTTTTTACCACTAACAGTAAATATTTCATAATATCAGACAGGTTCTCGTGTCGTCAGTTTGAGGTGTTTAAGGTATTATGATAATTATGTTAAACTATTAATGATTGGACAGTT